TCTGTTTTACTTAGTTTTTCAGGTCTTTGCTGTGGAGGGAAGGCGTGGTGCTTCTGTCTATAGTGCCATGTTGGCTCCGCCTCTCAGCAATGCACTTTTTAACAACAGAGGATGGAAGAGAGGTCATCTTTAAAGAAAAATTACTACCACTCCCACCATTCCCTATCTATAGTATATCTGACTTCAGAAAATCCCAACAAGTATCAAATTACCATATTTCTAACACCCATACTCCACCCTTAACTGGGATATATGTAAGGCAGGAAAAGACAGGAAGCCAAAGAAGGGTTTATGGTGCCTTACTGATCACTAAATGAAAAAAAAAAACAAAAACAAAACTCATTGCCTTCAAGTCGATTCTGACTCCTGGTGACCCCATATGTTACAGTGTATCCATAGGGTAATCTTAATAGAAGCATCGCCAGGCCTATCTCCCACGGCACTGCTGGGTGGGTTCAAACCACAAACCTTTAGGTTCATAATTGAGCACAAACTGTTTACACCACCCAGGGACCTTGATAATTAAAGGAAGCTTCCCCCTAAACATTCTAAATTGTAATTTTGTCATCCTGAAGGGTTTTATATCCTGGGTAAGGGATAGACCTTTCTTTTGTAAAGTGAGAAGAACTATTGTAAATGCAGGAGTAGGGAAGGAAGATCTACATGAGGCTAGGAAAGAGTACTTAGGGAAACGGGATCTGTAAATTGATTTGCTCAAAGCAGTAAGTGCCCACCTGACCCCTGGACTAAGCCACAGAATGAGGACTTGAAGTCGATATAAGCTTTAACTCTTCCTCAGCTCAATGGCAAGGAACGTTTGTCATAAAGTATGATGAATACTGAAATCACTTCTAGCAGAGGCTTTCAATTTTACCACAGCTTATACTTTACATTATGATCCATACACACATACACATTGTGTCATGAAACAGTAATTACCCTCACTCCTCGTGATGCACTCTGATATTTCTTACTCTAATGTCTTTTAGTGCTGGTTTCACTTCACTAAATTGATTTCACAACAAGTTAATGAGTCACAGCCCACAATGTGAAAACACAGAGCTATAGAAAATAGAAACGTGTAAAGCCCCAGTACTGGCAATTTCTGATTCTAAGAAGTGTTCTTAAAGAAGCCTTAGCTTGGACGCACAACAGGGTGAACCAA